CTTTCACGTACGTCAAGACCACCTCGGTGAACGGGCCCATCTCCGTGAAGGGGAGGCTGTGGAGAAAGTTGCTCACCACCCGCCGGTGCATCACGTCGGCGATCGCGATCGCGTTGCACGTGCCGTTGCGACGCGCCCCCGCGCCGCGATCGACGCGTTCGCCGCGGAACGAACGCGCGTCTGCGCAGGCCTCGCCCTCGTCTTGCCTCGTCGCCCCTTCCTCCCCTTCCTCGGGAATCCGCTCGCTGCGAAGAAAGACCTGGAAAACCCACCGCAGGAGGTCGCACATCCGCGGCAGGATCGACCCCGTCACCACGTTAAGCAGCTTCACGTTTGGGTGTTCGTTCGGTGAGGCCGACAGCGCCGAGACGCCACGCGCGGTGAGGAATTCCCCCGCGTTAATCAGCCGCATGAAGTTGACGGCCGTCACCAAGACCGCGGCGACCTCCTCGGTGGTCAACCCCTGAAGACTCCCCTCGTCGGAAAGACTCGGTAGGCTCTCGTGCAGCTCCCGGAAAATCGTCTCCGCTGCCTCACGGAAAACGGGAATGAGCGAGGGGCAGGCCCGAAAGATCTGGAGGAAATCCCGCAACGCATTGGTCATTATCATGTAATAGCAGCGCAGATGCACATGATAACACTGATGCCGCACCACCTCGATCTGGGTATCAATAGAAAACCCCCTGTAGAGGGGCATCCTCAGCTGTGTGGAGGCCACATGACCCCCCACGGGGGGGTTTGAATCGAAAAACGTATCGATCCCATCGCCGAAAGACCCCTCCTCCCCTCCCAGCCTCCTCGTCGCGCTCACGTGGGCGGCGTATCTCACCCCACAGTTCAAGAACATCGCGTAATCCCACGACGGCAACCACAGCGCCCTCAGACAGCCCTCAACCCAACCACTGTGCTCGTTAAACATCGACTTCGTCGAGTCGTGCACCGTGAGGGCCTGCACGAGGAACGGCACCGCGAGCTTCGGGAGCACCCCATTGAGGTAGGTGGACTCCCGGGGGTAATTGAAGAGCCCCTTCGCATCCTCGCCGTCGTCAACGCCGCCGCAAAGAGGGCAATCCCGCTCCTTCGCGGTGGGGGAGGAGGATCGAATCGGCCTCGCGGCGGCCGCTCCATCCATTGCCTCCATCCCATGCCGCCTCACCTCTTGCCAGGAAGGCAGTGGGCGAAAGGCGAGATCCAACACCGTCTGCGGGATCCCCCGCTCCGTGAGGGCGGGAACGATATCGCGGAGGCTGTGGTGCGCACACGCCGCGAGCAGCGCGATGGCGCCTGCGGCCACCGAACCGTACCGAGTCTGCTGCATCACGGCATGCAGCAGTGAGCAGAGATCGACCTTCCCGCGGAGAGGGGGGCTCACGACAGGGGGGGGGGCACCACCATCCGCCAAATTCCCCTCCCCCGCCTCAACCCCCACAGAGGGTCTCCCCCTTCTTCCATCGCTCACCATCGCCTCGTAGGGGGTCAGTAAGAACTGCACGGGATTCACGGAAGGGTGCACGACGTTCGTTACGCAGGTCTTTAACATCTCCATCGCGGATAGTAACGCGTTGTAGGTATTTAAATCAATCTGGTTCGCGGACTGGTACAGGCGGACCTGCTCCGCCGCAAAGGTCGCGGAATCCTTGACCTCATAACGAATCTGATCTGAGGGCAGCGTCGCCTCTCGCGGTTCGGCCTCGTTCATAAAAGCAGCGCGCTGCGGCTCCCCCCTGCATCCCTCCGAGAGATCAGCCGACCCCAGCCTGGTGGAGGAGGCGTCGTCATCGGCGACGGGGTGGCTGGACGAAAGCGGGGCGTAGCTACCACTCGCGGCGGTTCTGTGGGGTGAATCCCGTTCTTTCTGCACATCGACGGCCCCACCCGACGCGCCGGCACGCCTTCCAGATAAAGGCGGATCGTCCGATAAGAGCCGAGAGATGTAGTAAAATAGGCAGTGCACGATACCATCCACCAACCCCGCATCAAGTGCTGCGGTGATGTGCGAATTCGTGTGTGTCGAGGTCAAGGTTCGGATAACGAGCGCCGGGTAGTAGCGCGGCCGGAGCTTCAGCAGCTGCACGAGCTGCACGACGGCGGACTGGCCGGTGTTCAACGGGTTGAGGTAGAGCACCTGTGTGATGTGGTGGTCGACCAGCAAGGCGTACTGCCAATACTCCGCGTAGTCACGGAAATTCTCACGCAAGAAGCGGGGGTTGTGAGGGACCACTTGGTTGATGATATTCCAAATCGTGTTCACCGCCGGAATCTTAAGCCATTCCGAGGAAAGGTGCGTCTCTGTGACGCGGGTCACCCAAAAATACGACACGTCAGCGATGGTGCCGATGAGGGAGGCGTACACCTCCTGGAGCTCCTCCCACTCCTCCTTCTCGGCGTCGTCGGAGTCCGCCGAGGGGCGCTCGAGCGCCTGATCCTGCAGAATCTCAAGGAAAATCTCCTCGCAATCCCAGATGGAGTTGAAGAAGTCCAACGCGCCGGACGCGATGATGCGGTCCCGCGCGTCCGCAGATAACCTTTTGAAGCAAAGCAGCCGGATGCGAGCCCACCAAAGGGCCCACCGCGCCGATACCACGCCGCCACGGCCGCCGCGGATGCTATCCAGGCAGGCCTGCGCCGCGGCCCTCAGGCCGATCTGGACCCTCCTATCCGGCGAGACGGTGAAAGCCTCGTCAGGGATGATCTCCCCCGCCTCGAGCGGCGCCTCCAGGCGGACACCCCACGATGACGGCGCCGTCTCCCCCTCTCCTTCTCCCTTTGCCTCTCCTTTTCCTTGCCCGCCCTCACGACGCCGCTGGAGCCTCGCCTTGAGGGCCTTGTAGGCCGCCCAGTTCTTCTCGACGAGGTCGCACAGCGAGATGGGGTTCCGCCAGCCATACACGATGACCTCCAGCACCGGTCCCGACAGATCGCTCCTCTTAATCATATAATAATAGTCGTGTTGGAGGAGGAGCCCGAGGTAGATCACGGAGGGGTCCCGGCACTGCATCAGACGGATCGGACATAAGTTGGACGTTATGCTCGACGGCCGCGTGGTCCGATACACGGAACTAAAAGACAACATCAGCGTGAGGACGGTGCGGATGTCGTCAAATTTACCCCCTTTCGGGACGTCGAGCGGGGGGGATCCCGCGGCGTCGGTTGTGCCGCTTTCGTTCCCCCCCTCGGCCGCTTTGGGGTCCGTGATCGACCCTTCCCCTTTTAGGTCGGCTTGGTACCGCTGCAGTTTGGCGCTTAACAAGGGACGGGCGCAGCGGTACAACCACCTATTCGACGCCTCCCGAAGCGCTTCCCCGAAGAGGTTTGAGGGCACGTGGTCCACCACCGCGAAGAGGCTCTCGTCGTGGAGAATTTGGCGTAGCAACCTCGGGACGTGCGAGACGTGTAGGCGGACATCGCGCAGCTTCTGGGTGTAGTACGCCATGCACGGCGCACTGCAGACGGCGGGGAGGGAAACGTAAGGATCTCGTAATAGATAGCGCGCACTACTTGGGTTGTTTTCAAAATTAAGGGAAAGCATCGGACCACCTGCCGCGCCAACTATAACCGGGGCGCCAAGCGAATTGGTGGGCCCCGTTTGGGGGTTGGTGGAGGCACTGATAATGGCATTGATGTAATTGATGTCGTTGGGATTACCCCGACTGATCTGAATGCTCAACCCTTGAGGTTGATGTTGCAAGAGATATTCGTTCGCTAATCTGTCCAACCCTACTAGTCTGTTGCCCTCAGTGAAATTACGCGAAGACCTAGAGTGAACCTCTATCCTGTGAGGATAATGACCCGAGCTCATTATACTAGTTGCTAGGTTCGTGCTATATCTGTCTGCGTTAGAACTCTACTCAAAGAGCTATTTTGCTTTCCCTTCTTCCTGGTAACTTATGTAGTCCACCACGCTTCTTTCTTCACGACTATCCTTTTTTTTTTACAGAAAAGACCCTTTTCCTCTTTGCTTTCAAGAAGGCGATAGTGTGAAAGGGGTTTTTTTTTTCTGTAGTGGGAATTCAACCTTACTAATCTGTGCGGCAGAGTATTCCCTTGAGTCTCCTCTCTTTCCGAGATTGAATCGCTAAAGTGATAAAGAGACAAAAAGTAGTAGCAGTGGCGGTTTTTATGTGTTTTTTTACCTTTATTTTGTTCGTATTCTACTATCGAGGGAATGTATTTGCTTGTGTATATTCGTAGTTTTTAGTGTAGAATGTAAATGGTTATACCACTTCTGTGTGGTAAATGGGTATGTACAATATAGATTAAAAAGTGAATATGCAATATATATATATATATATATATTTCTGAGTGTGTGTGGTTTTGGAGACAAAAAGTATTCACAATCTTTCAAATTTTAATCTGCCTTTGTAAAGAACCCCTTACCTCTGAGCTGAATACTATCAATCAAGATATTAACCCAACCTCTGTACAGAATCCCACTCACGGAAATTGTGTTGAATGGCTTCACGAACGTATGTATGTATGGCTATGTAGATATTCAAACTATCCCTAAAAAAAACTTTCTGTAGAGAATAAAATGACAAAAGACTCGATAACAGAGAGTTTTGTTGTAGTGATAACAACTAAAAGAAGAAAAAAATTATTCCTGCGCAGATATTGATATAACAACAGCAAAGACATAGGGTTCGCATGAAAGACGGATGGAAAGAAAGAGCGATAAGGATGCATTTAAAGCCGACGAAAACGACGAACCAAAGCAAACATTAGTGATTAGAGCGTCATACGCGTATCAAATTTCCTTTCTCAGACCTAATATATATATATATATATATAGGCTATGGGGGATACTATTTACTCATTAAATGCATATTATATGTATATCGCATCGTGTGTTCAAAGTAGCTCCTCGTAGTTCGCCCGCGCTCGATATAGAAACCTCCCATGGATCACCTCTTCGCTCCTTCTCACTTGAACTCCACTAACAACGTTTTCAACTCTGCACCCTCCTTTATTATGAACACACACACACACGCACGCACCTCACCTTACTGACGATTCATAAGCGACGCCAAGGGCTGGACAATATAATCAAGCCGCGGATCCTCCAGGTGGTCTTCGAAGTCTGCCAGCTTGAACTGGGCAAACGCCTCGAGGGCGTTGTTGACCGACTCCAACGCGGCCTCCTCGGCGACGGGCTTATCTGCTGACAACGTATCCGAGTTCCACTCGCCAAACGACAACCACGCCGCGGCGGGCATCTCACTCGGCCGGGGTACCGGCGACGGTACCGTCGCGCCGGTGCCCGCCGCGTACTCAAACGCGGTGATCGAGCGCGCCGTCGGCGGCCCCGTGAGGCTGTCGTTGTCGACAAACCACACCAGGAGCGACCCCCCAAGCCGGGCCGCAAAATACCCCAGTAGGGGCTGCGTTTGGCATGGGGAAAGCATACGATCGGTCCGCCGCTCGTTCGCGAGGTAGACGCCGAGGAGGGAGAGGCCGTTGGTCTTCGCGGAGGACTGACAGTGCGCGTAGGCCACCTCCAACATCGGGTGGGGGGACCCCATGAGGATCGTGTGGAAGAGCGGGTAGACGTCACTCACGTAACGCGACGCATTGCCGGCACCCGTGCGTTTCCCCACGAGGAAGCCAAGTACCGCGTGGGAGGGGTACTTGTAGCAGTGCAGGAGAGCCTTGGTGTACGCCTCGGTCGAGGCTACAACATCGGTCATGGTCGCTTAAAAAAGGGGGGGACACGGGTGGGTTAGAAAACACCGCAGGAGTCGAGGACTGTCTGCTGTTGTTTGCTTGGGTGGATTGGTGAAAGCTAGATCGGATGTTGTATGGACCTGCGCCGGACAAAAGCGCCATCCCGTTAATGGAACCGAAAGAAAGTGTGGAATAGAATGCAAAAGGGAATAATACAAGCGAAAGAGATGGAGCACCTCACACACATATACATATATATATATATATATGTATATATATGTGTGTATGGAGTTTTAACTCCTTCCTGTTACCATGCTTTAAAGGATATCAAGTTCATATCTGCATTAATTCATCGAAACTATCGACGTGTATATAGACAGAGAAAGAGAGATAGATCATACATCGAGTAATGCAACTCATTTACATCGTCCCAAAATGCAAGCCACTGCCTACACATACACACACATACACTCATTCGCATCCCGAAAGTTCACACTTCCCCATCGCTTAACCAAGCAAAAGAGGGAAAAAAAAGAGCCTTTCATCGTCGCCGTGATGTCCTCCCAACTCCAAACAACACATTACACTCAATATCCCTTGGGCAGGGACGCTAGAGGTCATAGGAGGGATGTCTTCCTCACCTCCCTTCCTCTCTTTCCTTCTTTCGTTCTTTTACTTCCTTCCCCCGATCCCTCTTCTTCTTCGATTCCTAGTTGATGTGGATGTGCACCCCCGCTAGGTTGTAATCCTGCGCTGACAAAGTTACAAAGTCCAGCTGCCGCAGCTTGACGACGCGGTTTGGATGCTTCAACAATTTGCTAAGCAGCTGCCTCCAGTAGTTCGGGTCATGGTCCGCGATGGGGTTGCCGTGCAGCGTAAGGCTCGACAACAGAGGTAGCGGGCAGATCCGCGTCTCCACCTGCGCCCAGTCCACGATGCGGTTGGCGTGAAGATAGAGCCGCTGCAACGGCAGCAACGAGAAGTCCGGAAGGCGTGAGATCTGGTTACAGCTGAGGTCGAGCGAGTTGATCGTGAGCAACGCATTCGCGACGAGGGCGCGAAGAACGGGGACGAGATACTGATCCACGCCCTCGTCCAGCTGGCAGCTCGAAATACGGACACTGTTGGCGTCATATTTGCGCTGATTGGAAACCGTATGGGACTGCACAACGGACTTTCTCCCCTCACCCGGGGTGCCGGGGTTGAGGTTGGGGTAGGAGTCGTTCGTAGCGCTAAGCCTGCCTATGGTGGAGGTCTTTAGGCGGCCGGTGGCGAGGTTCGCCGCCTGACCAATAAAGCAGTTAAGGCGGTTGTCCTGAAAGTCGAACTCGTAGGCCTCCTCATCCCCCCGCTTGTTCTTGGCCTTGATAAGGGTGCGCGTGGGGGCCGGGGGGTGGGTGGGGTCATTATCCGCGTTGAGAAAGACCCCCTGCGCGAGGTCCGGGTCGCCGGTCGGGCGAAACGAGCGGCAGACATGCGGGCGACCGCTCACCGGCTCCACATCGAGCAGATGCTCCACACTCCGTAGCGCGATAAAGGAGTAGTCGAGCAGCGGCCACGCGCGGTTCACGGCGGCCACGCGACCGGTGCTGACGCCGTAGAAGTCCCGCAGCGTGTTCCGCACGCGCTCGATCTGCTGGAGCTGGGTCGGGGTACTCGAGTACAGGTGATGATGCTCGGCGTGGAGGAGCCCGATCGCGGCCGCGCGGAGCCCGGGGGCGACCCCGTCGGCATGCCCGCCGCCGCGGCCGCCCGTCGTGGGGGGCTTACACGCGGCGATGGGCAGCCGCCGGAGGTGGGTCCAGAGCTCCGGCAGCGTCAGCATCCGCCGGTGCACCGTGACGATGCAGCCCTCGTCGAAGTAGCACTGGTCGCAGAACCGGAGGTAGTCGCGGCCCCAGACCAAGGTGAGCCGGCTGAGCCGCTGGTTGCGGTTGGTGTGCTGGCGCCCGACCAAGGCGTAGCGCTCCTGCACCGACTGCGGCTCCGGCGGCGCGGGCAGGATCTCGGCCTCCTGCAGAATCCCCTTCCGCGGCTCCAACTGCGGCTCGAGCTCGCCCAGGTACCGCCC